TTTTTTTTTTTTTTTTTTTTTTCTCAAAACTTCAAAAGGCTATAACTCTCAGCTCCGGTGTCCGTTTTTCGCCCGTAAGATACCGCCGTGACCGTCTCGACGAGACGAATCTAACGGTGTCTTTAGAATCGAATTTCGAGCACAACTCAGAAACTCAAAATTTCTACAAAAGCTCGAAAAAATTAAACACTAAGCTCGAAAGCTTCAAACCAAGCTCTGATACCACTTGTTGTGGTATCATCCCAAGATCATAAACATAATTGAGAGAAAAATAAGTTTCTATTACTCACAAGAATAAAAACAAGAGATTTACAAACTCTAAACAAAAAACTCTCAAACTCTCCCACAACTCTTCTTGGTTGTGTTTCAACACTCTCAAGGTTGATTGATCACACTCTTGGATGATTCAAATGAATGAAATGAGCACTCTATTTATAGGCACAAAAATTAGCACACCATTGTGTGTGAATGAGGAAGGTGGTGGATGGTAGGTGAAGGGCTAGTCTTCTTCTTCATTGGTGTGCTTGAATGTTTGGTGATGGACTTGGTGCATGGAACTTTCAAAAACAGCTCCCTTAGAATCTCAAAATTCCATCTTCTTCCATTGTCTTCAAGCAGCTGGCTAATTCCCACACAAACCAGGTTTCAACAAGGGAATTCCTGACAAAGTAGATGGAACCCAAGGGTCTTCCAAGATTCTGGTAGAAACCCCATCTTTGATTTCACTCCTGAAAAAACCCTTGTACTTGTCTCTTACATTTATCCAGTTAGACCAGAGCCATGGACAGGTAGAGGATTTTTTAACCATGACAATAGAAGAATTTGGAAAGCTAAGAAAGAAGGATAGCTGCTGCTGGCTTGGCCTGAAGTGACAGTGGCAATGGATCCAAAAATGGAAGTTGCTCTGTTGGGGGTGAGACACAGCTTGGAGGAGGCTTTCAAGGAAGGATGGACTGATCTAGTTTGCTTTGTTGATGTTAAGGTTGTTGCTGTTTTGAACTATTAGTTTTCAGTTTGTTCTTTGTTGGAGCCGATTGTTCATGGCATTTTGGTGTCTAAGACTTTGTTTTCTTCTTGTTTGTTTCGGTTTGATCTAGTTGGTAGTTAGTAGTTTTAGCCATGTTTGGCTTGTTAGGTAGAGCACCCTAGACTCTCTCGTCTAGTTTCTAGAGATTTTTGTGTAACTAGTTGGTTATCCGACTGTACATTTCAAGGTTTTATTTAATATTTGTTGGTTTGAAAAAACAAANCTGATCAGACACAAATCCAATAAACATGCAACAAATCATAACTAAACAACGCCCGAACCCTCCTCCATCCACTTATTAGAATGAAAAACTGCCGTATCAAATAATGAATGAAAAACTGCCAAAAATGGCACAAAATAAATCCAAAGAAATCAAGCCATTGCTAAAGTAGAAACAAAGGATGCCACGAGAAAAAGAGAAAATAGCAGAGACATCCCCAATTTTGTGGAATTTGCATCTGAGGAACCGTCTGGCACATTTTCTGATCCACCCCCTGCACCAAACATAAAAATAAAGCAGCCAGTGTGAAAATCAATAACATATATAACAGCAAATTAATTCATTCAAGAGCTCAAAAAACACTAGGTAAAATTTAATTAACTCATGTGAAGAATCCTCATATTCATAATTCATACCTGAATTTGTGTTTGGAGAATTGGGTCTTGACCCAGGGGAGCCAGATGGAGATGCAGCTGCAACTTCAAGAATTAGTCCAAAAACATAAATAAAAAATCTCTTCTCTACAGTAAATATTGGTTGAAGGCCGTAAATTTGAAGATCTTACCATTGCGGCATTGACTGGTGGGTGGGGTTGGGACATTGCAAGCAGCAGGCAGGGCGAGGGCCTGTGTCTGGTTAATGTTGAGGCCCAAATTGGAGTTGGAATTGAGCAACTGGCACAGGCACTGCGGATGGGTCCCAACCACCGTCCGCAGCTGCGTGCAGCAGCCGCTTGACGGGCCGCTGCTCGAGTTGCCCGAGATGTAATCCAGGCAGGGGGACATGCTGATTAGGACGTTGGTGCAGTCGTTGGATTGGGCCTCAGTGCCGGCCCATAAAATGGTGATGATGAGAGTAAGGGTAAAGCCCAATGAATACTTCAGTCCGCGTGCCATTTGGTGGTGATGAGAGTAAAAGGAGAAATGTGTGTTTGAGTGCTTGCTTCACAGTTAACTGTTAAGGGTACGGTTTTGGGGTGTTTTATAAGGAGTTTTTATGGTGAGTTGTCCAATGGATGGTCATTTTTGTTTACCAACTTTCTCCTACTTTTTTGGGTTTATCAAAACTTTTCAAAGAGTTGGTTCTTTGTTCGGGGGAAATGAGAATGGGGAGATTGTTAGTTATGTGGTTGACCTACTTCATAGTTTGACCAAACATTTCATATTTCAAATGGTTCAATAGAGAAAACAAGCCCTGGTATTAAGCAAAAATTCTGGCAAAATATCTGGAAATTGCAAGTCAAACCAAAAATTAAAAACTTCATTTGGAGATGCCTTCATGATTGGGTAGGAACTAGCAGCAAATTGTATCAAAAAGGCATTCTAAATGATGCTACTTGCAGCAGCTGTGGAGAAGCAATGGAGGATTTGGATCATCTGATGTTTAATTGCAGCAGAGCCCAGAATGTTTGGAAGCTGGCAGGTATTCAGTGGTGTAGCAGAACTCAAAGACATTCATCAGTGGCCATCTGGTGGGAGGAAATATGCAGGCTACAAAACACTGAAATCAATAGGGACAGAATCTCTCTTTCCACATATCTTTTATGGTGGATGTGGACAACGAGAAACATTTGGATATTTAAGAAGGAATTCACCTCAAAGCCAGATCTGGTTAGCAAAGCTAGGGCAGAATGGCTTGAATTTGACGAGGCTCGGTTTGGTAGAGGATTAGCTAGACCCAATGATTCCCAGGCAATAGGGGATGCTCCTTCAGCTCCCAGTGTTGGTGTACCTGCTCAGATACCCTGGAGAATTAAAGGATCAGCCTCCTCTACTGGTAATGTTGAAATGGCCAGTTGGACTTCATCTAGGGAGGCTATCATAAAGCAACCAGTGGATGATATCCTTTTTGACCTTAGAGCTTGGTTGGAGGAGGGGCTGCAACAAAATTGGCAGAAGGTGTTGTTAAGCTTTCATGATAAGAAGTTGGTCTCAATATTGTCTGCCAAGGATCAAGGAGACTGGGATGTCAACGTGCTAATTTCAGATATCAGAGCTATCATGTCTTTGTTCCCAGCCTCTTCTTTAATTCTTAGTAGCTAGTCAGTTTCTGTTTATGTGCTTTAGGTTTTGTTGTTTGTACTAGTGTTTGTATTAGGTTTCTGTGTTTCTGTTATGTTGGTTGTAGCTATTTTGGTACTCTTTGTTCTCTTGTGGCCTTAGTGGTCCTTTAGGTCGGCTTCTTTTGCAGCCTTCTATTCTCGTCCCTGTATTTGAGCTCGTTGCTTCTCCTTAGGAGCTCGATTTGTACTTATCTTTGAGGTATTAATAATAGGGTAAAGTCCACTTTTGGTCCTTCATGTTTAGGGGGTATCCAGACTGAGTCCCTATTATGTTTTGGTGCCCAATTTTAGTCCTTAAAACAAAAAAATGAGTCCCTATTATGTTTTGGTGCCCAATTTTAGTCCTTAAAACAAAAAAATGTACTCCCTATAATAGAGAAAAATCCACTTTTAGTCCTCCATGTTTAGGGGTATCCAGACTTAATCCCTATTATGTTTTGATGCCCAATTTTAGTCCATAAAACAAAAAAATGTAGTCCATTTACCTCAATTTCTGTGAATTAACGGTCCATTTTTGCTCGACTGTGATGTTCTTTATTTTTTTAAAATTTGTTGATTAATGTCAACTTTGACCAAAGAAAAATAAAAGAAAATTTAAATGCTGAAAATATATTAATCAAAAATTAAACTAAAACAAGAAATTGCAACAAATTAAATTAAAATTTTTGCTCGTCTGATTTCTATTTCCCTAGCATTCGCGCTGCGGAGCAAGCCTGGAATCACAGCTACTGCTCTAGCACCCATTTTCGGGTCATGCCATCGAAAAAAATTGCACCTATCAACCTTCTGTTTTTTAACCATTTCTTATCATATTCCAATTGAAGTTCACAGAAAGTACTTACAGGATATAGAGGGCAACTCAAGAATCTTCTCTCGGGATTATCATCCTTACAGCATGTAGTCAATTTTGCAACCAGCTCACATCTACAAAATACCACACCATTTCCATCCATTTGATCGGATTTAGTCTCTAGGCGGTCAGGTTTTTTTTTTTTCTACGTTTCACTGCAGTTCACCATTTCTGCCTTTTATTTTACCTTTTTTCAGCATTTAAATTTTCTTTTATTTTTCTTTGGTCAAAATTGACATTAGTCAACAAATTTTAAAAAAATGAAGAACATAACTGTCGAGCAAAAATGGACCGTTAATTCACATAAATTGAGGTAAATGGACTACATTTTTTTGTTTTAAGGACTAAAATTGGGCATCAAAACATAATAGGGATTAAGTCTGGATACCCTAAACATGGAGGACTAAAAGTGGATTTTTCTCTATTATAGGGACTATATTTTTTTGTTTTAAGGACTAAAATTGGGCACCAAAACATAATAGGGACTCAGTCTGGATACCCCCTAAACATGGAGGACCAAAAGTGGACTTTCCCCTTAATAATATTTGATGTTTGGTGAAAAAAAAATAGAGAAAATAAATTATATAAAAAAACATATATTATATGCTATAAGATTTCGTCAAGAAACGTTTGTGTATTTCAATATTTTAAAACAAGTATGATCGGCGCTGCAAAGCAATAGGTGTGCATCTATATGATTTTTGAGCTGCAAATTTGTGATGTAGCGAAACCGTAACGAGAAGAATAAAATAAGAAAATCTCTCAAATATATTTTTTAATCAAATAAGAGAATAAGATTCTTTGAATAGGACCTAAAAAGCTTCAATCTTGTATAGCAAGTAAAGGATAATTAAATATCTTTCCTACTAAATAAAAGACTAGAATAATTAAATAACTTTACTACAAATGTAGGATTACAATATTAACAATAAATAAAAAGAAATAATTAATTAATTAAAGATCCCAAAAATCATGTTTGTCATCATCTTTATCATTCTCCCTCTCTCGAAATTGATTCGCACTCAAATCCAGCATAATCTCGTCTCTACAGCATATCAGCACAACCTCTTCAATTCATCGCCCAACTGAAATAAAAACCTTCATCCAATTTATTTTGATACCAAGAAAATATTACATCACAAGAACATGTGGGGTTGTGCATTTCCAATATATGGTTGGAACTTCCACATAATCTATGTCGTTGAAATTATTAGCAAAATGCTCTGCGTTAGCTGCTTCCTTGGTGTAGATAATTTCCTCGCCATCAAAATGAGGCAAACCCTCATAGTTGGTCGACCCCTCGTCTTCGGCTTTCCAATTAGAGATGTCCACTTGAAAGAAGCCCAACCTTTTCCCGTATGCAATAAGAGAGTTCACTCTTAGAAGAACCCACGAAAGCTCGAGAAAGAGAATGTCCTCTCAAGGAAAAGAAAGCGCCAACGAAAAGAGGCGGAATCCAATATTCGGACGACTCCTCGTTATAAAAAAGAAGAGGCGGACCCTCACATGCGGTCGACCCCTCGTCATCAAAAAGAGGCAGACCCTCATATTTGGACGATCTCGTGTAATCCAAGAAATTGATGCTCCCATCGCCGGTCATCGGCGAAGTAGCCTCGTCCCATGCCGCCATATTACCAAAATGATGTACCTCGGATATGCTGACGTCAAAGTCACTGTCACCGACAAACGATTGAGGCAATCGGGAGCGCGATGCCCCCCGTGTGCCTCGACTGCGTCCACCATTCATTCCCCCACAGTCGCCACGTCCTCCGTCCGGCGCGCGGTTCATTTGCTTTCCATGAAAAACGGTACGCAGAGCCAGCCGAATGTCCTTAATCCCCGCAGTCAGATCCGCGACATGTCGCCCCAATGCTTCAATGGCGGCGTCACGCCCGTTGTCTGCAGTACCGTTCCTCTTCGGCTTCATTATGAATCGTTCTGATCTCTGTATACCAACTGATGTAGCGTTGGATACCAACTGACGTAGCAAAAGTGTAACTAAAGGGATAAAACAAGAGAAACACTCTCAAATATCTTTATTAATCAAAATTCAACCAATTGAAACTTAAGAGGATAAGTGTCTTTAAACAGAAGACCTAAAAGTCTCAATCTTGTCTAACAAGTAAAAGATAATTAAATATCTTTCCACAATAAAAGACTATAATAATTAAATAACTTTACTAACAAATATAGAACTAAAATACTAACAATAAAATTAATTTTTACCATTAATTTTTTCATTTTTGAAATACTTAATATTTTTTTGTTACCCATTTATATGTAACATATCACATAATTTCTTTCCCATAATATTTTGATTTACCAATGTATTGTAAATTAAATAAAAACAATGTAATTATTCCTATCGATATAAAATAACATACATAATATATATATATATATATATATATATCTACAATACCAATTTAAAATAATAAATAGACCTAAAATAATATTATAAAATAAATAATAGATCCATGTCAACTCAATTTTATTAATTATAGAATATTTTTTTACATAGGTTTGAAATATTCATAGTACGAAAAAAGTGCAACTGGATGTAAACGTACAACTACTATAATATTACTATAATATTAATATGTGAATTAAAAGAAAAAAAAAGTGAGTTGTATGTTAAACTATTTTTCAATTATTGATTGAAATGGAACACCATAATGGTTGTAAAATATATTTATTTTAATATGAAAATAAATTAGTTACTTAATATTTTATCAAACAATGGAAAAAAAACCTTTTAACCTTATTTTATCAAACAATGGAAAAAAAACCTTTTAACCTTATAAACAATATAAAAGAACATTTTAAAATATATTATTACTATCAAACACGTAAAAAAAAATGCAAAGCATATAAATGTGCTCTAATTATTTAAACAAATAAAATATTATTTGTATATAAAATAAAAAAATAAAAAAAATAGTAATGCAATGGGGAAAAGAAAAAGTCTGATTTTTTTTTTTTAGAAAAGTACGAATACTAATATCAAGAAACAAAAATCTTTTAAAATTACTACTTTTTTGTTGCAAGCATTTAAATATATGTTCTTTATATGGAATTGGTTCTCATAAATAATGATTCTTTGGTATCATAATATAGACCAGATATTTTAATAATGACTCCATAATAATAAAGTTAACAGATGACTAAATATCATAATATAATAGAATTCTAATTCTTCTCATCTGAAATATTTTGACAAATAATATGTTTCTCAATATTGTCGCATTGTTTTGTTTTGTTTTGTTATTATTGAAGAATCAAGAAATGATCTTTTATCTTGAATTTTCGAAGAATTAGTTATGATGCAAAATGTTGGACAATAAATGCATTAAACAAGTTATTAGACACGTGAATATTGCAATCGGAACGAATGTGAAAGGTATTATGATAAACAACTCTACAATCATTGCTACAACCAAAATGTTTAATGATTTGCAAATAATATGTTATGTAGTTCGCCTATCTTCCAAATAAATAACACTGAAAATGGAATGTTTGATTCTGACAAAAATTTTTGAATGTTTGAATAAGTTGTCACTTTTTTATAGGAATATTAAAAATTTTAATTGTGTATTATCTCGATCATATGCGCAATTACGTTAGAGTACATGTTTTCTCATAATGTGTGATGATTTAAAAAAAAAATGTAGCGTCTTCGGAGAAATACATGAATTTGGAAAATCAACTTTTATTTAAAGATGAAATCTGTTCCCACGAGGTAAGTACCAATAATCTATATGGAGGAGAGAGAGAGAGAGAGAGAGAGAGAGAGAGAGAGAGAGAGATGTAGTATTGTATACAATGATTTAAAAAAATATCAGAAATTTTAAAGACACAAATATCAAGAACTTTAATGGCATATTTAGTTATTTCACAGAGATATTTATGGACTGTTAGTAGAAATATTTTATAATGATCATACAATCACGAAGTTTGATTATATGTTTGGCTATAGTATTTCTAAGTGTTGAATAAAGCATACATTTTGCCAAATTAATTAAGAAGAATTGATGAATTGGAATCCAACAAGTATTAATGTTTCTTATGAGAAAATTAAAACCAAAATGAAAGAAAATTACTCTTGAATCTAAAATAAATAAATAAAATAACTCATGCATCTATAATATACTTTATGTCTTTATTTAATTATTTAGCATTTTATTATTAGGGACTCATTCTTCATCTATTTTTGTTGGAGTTGTATAATATGTTATTTAAAGCATTTTATGTTACGGCATCATTATGTTATTTTGAAAAAAAAAAAATACATTAAGAGTTTCTTTTATATGATTAATAAATTAACTAATTTATCTAACTAAATTTAAGCGGACAAAAATATTCACCACCAAGTGCATCGCACGTGCACTTTACTAGTATATAAAATCATACATAAAAAATGTCATAATACTATTTATTCTATTTTCTAGATGTTTCAATTTCAAAGTATATATATTTGTTGAATATAGTTGTCTAAATTTTAGGTCTGTCAAAACAGTGGTTTTATTATTCTTTGAACTCCTTGGCTTCTTGTCCTCATAAGCATATTATTGCATAAGAAAATCATGTTTTGGCACTAGAATCTGGTGAAGTCAGCAGAGGCGGATCTAGGAGAAAAATTTGGGAGGGGCTAAAGCGGTTATCGAAACCGGAGGATTGTGTTTGCTCAACTCGTGACAATTTGATCTCATATCATTATATATTTAAACAAGCCAAACTAGAACGACTATTTAAATTTTCTTATTAAACAAATCGAGTAGAGTGATGCTTACACAAGCAAAGTTAGAGCTCATTTTTTTGTTTATGTATTCAATAGTCGAGCGTCATAAGCTTAAACATGAGTTTTTCAACTTGACTTGGCACGAATAACATTTCGAGGGGACTATAATTTTTAATCTCTCTCTCTCTCTCTCTCTCACATACACACAAAGGTGTAAAATTTTGTATTTTAAAACTGTTGAAATTACTAATAAGTTGCACTACAAAAGACATAACTTTTTAATTTTAAATGCTCAAAATTCTTTACACTCATGAAACTCATTGATGATTGGCTCGATATCAACGCAAATGCTATAATTGGTAGGTTGCCTAATTGTTAGACATATATATATTCCTGCAAAAAATGCATTATTATACTATGAAATGCCATACTTTTTTTGCATTGCACTATAAAGTATAACATTTAAGTATGAAAGTATAAATATATTTGTTGGAAGAGTGTGGTTGTTTAACTATTAAGTAGCCAAAAGAAAGGCTACCGTAGTAATAGTTCTAGCAATGCTATTTCGCACCATTGAATTGCATATGTTGCATGTTCTTCTATTCCAAATTTATTATTTAACTTTCTAGTTGTACATAAGATCAACACAAAATATTATAAAACAATGTTGATAGGGTACTTACGGAAATACGATGAAGTTAAAACTAATTAGTAAATAGACTTGTACAGTAATTTGTAATAATTATGAGAATGTATATAAATTGGATATGTTTTATATACATTTAATCTATATATAAATATTAAAAGAATTATAAGTCTTAGAATATATATATATATATATATATATATATATATATATACATATGTATTAGGCAAAAGTAAAAGTTTGGGGGGACAATGCCCCTCCCCCCTGGACATAAGGTGGATCCGCCACTGGAAGTCAGATTTTTATTTTTTACTTGGAGCTACTAGAGTATTACTCAACTTTGAGTTAATGACGAACACAATTCGGTTCAAATAATGAAAGTTAAAGTTTGATCCGTTCGTTATATAAATGAGGTGAGCTATAATGTTCTCAAACAACATAGTTAGGGTTATGAGTTTAGGATTTCAAATTTTAATTTAGGTTGACTTTACTTAAGGGTATCTGCATTGGTCCGTTAATTTGCCCCATTTAAATGCATTGGTCACCATTCAACAAATGCAGCTATCCATTAATGCGTGGGACCATTGTTATCATTAATGAATCCGCCCTAGTCAAACTCATATTTATGGTTATTAAATGGATCAAGTCGACCCGCCTTGTTTATTAATGAACAAGAGTTGGAAAATGAGGTATCTCGATCTCTAAAAAATGTAATTGGATGAAAAAGTTTATTTATGCTTTCAAGTGATTACACATACTTTGAAACAAAATTGAGATCATAATGCCTAAAGAAAAGATAATAAGTTTATTGATTTTGTTACTCCATTTAAATTAGGACAAAAAGAGCAGATAAAAAATTCTGGGGATAAACGATGGGGAAACAAGAAGAGCAATTATCTGCAAATGCCAGACAGAAATTCAGGGAGTAAATGATTTTCACAATGGAAGGCGAAAAAAAATATAAAACAAAGAAAAAATAGTCCATTCACGTGATAAGAAACCAAAAGGGGCATTTTGGGGAAACTCGAACTAATTCATACTCCCCGCCATCGCCAAACGCCAAAAATCCACTGTCCAGCCAACAAATTCACAGTAACCGCCATGAATCAGATTCTACGCCTCTTCCTCTTGCTCACCCTCACCTCCGCATTCGCCGCCGCAGCTCAGACGCCCACCGCCGCCTGTTCCGACAGGCTGGTCACATTCTCCACGTGTCTCCCTTACGTTGCCGCCGCCCCCAATAATCTCACCAGCTCACCACCGCCGTCTTGCTGCAACGAAGTTTCCGCCGCTTTCGGCGATGGTTCCGCCGACTGCCTCTGCTACATGGTCCGGCGGCCTGATTTTCTCGGATTTCCCCTCAATTCCACCAAGCTGATGTCTCTCACCTCTGTTTGCCCACTGAAGAAAAGGAATTCTACGGCGAGTTTCTCTCTCGAAAAGCTCTGTTCGGGTGAGTACACATATGTTAATGCGTGTCGATATTGAGGGCATGTGAACAGTGGGAAACTGTTTGATTCGATTTTGCATCGATTTTCAGATTGAATTCGGGAAATTTTTTTCCCCCTTTGTTCAAAGTTACTGTTTACAGATTGATTTGGAATTGTTTTATTTCTGTTTCTGTTTGATTTTTGATTGGAATTAATGTTTTCTTATATTTCATGATTGCTGGCCTGCTCTTGGGTTGTGGTTTTGCCAGCTTCAGTTTGCTGATGTGAATCGAAATTAAGTATCCTGCTCATGGTGTTAGATTGCTTATTTCACAAATTCAGATTTTGACATGCTTACAGTGCCGATGTTTATGCTAAAACTGCTCATTAGTAAATCGAGCTTACTTTCTTTCATGCAGAGACTTATCTTTTGAAACTGGTTACACTTATTAGTCAATTCCTAGTCAGGTTTATGTAATTCTTTATTGATGATTATATAAAAGACTATTTTACTTTTCTTATTGTTTCTTTCTTTCTTTCTGTGCTCACACACACTTCTACATTTTAATTTTCTTTTTCTTTTCATTTGGGTGGTTGATTGATCAGGGCCAGTGGCATTGCCTCCTCTTGGAAGCATAACTGGTGATTTCCCAACCCTGTGACTTTTTCTAGTAATTTTCTTTTGCTTTCTCTTTTACTTGCTGAAAATTGGATGTCTCTAACTGTTGCAATTGGATATATTATACAGGTTTTAAAAACCCAGCACCTCTCAACTTCGGTAAGAATCTGCTAAGCTGCATTTATAGAATTACATTTTTGTGACTTTCATTTCATGCCAGGGAATACAGTTTTCACTCTCATGTCTCCTTCAGGATTACCAACCAATAAAGTGAAATAACAAAGAAAACAAAAATAACCAATAGATTCATGTGAACACTACCCATTTAGATTTCGCCAAAAACATCAAAAAAACCCTGTCATCTTTCACAATTATAAATGTTTATGATTTTAAACTATAACCAGGGCTTTAGTAGTTGGACTAAATCTCAAGGGTGTGGTATTGCTACTATATGCCTGAACTAATCACAAAAGCATAATATTTCTAATGCTTGGTTTTGACAGGTGCTATTAGTGCTCCACCATCCCTTTCAAGGGCACCTGCTGAAGAATCAATTGGCAGCTCATCACCTAAAGATCCAGCAGCAGATAAAGTGCCTTCTCGACCAAGGTTTTCAACTAACTCTGCAAACATTTCATCTGCAGCACGAACCATGTGCAGGCTCAGCGGGACTTGGCTAAGTTTCCCTCTTTACATACTACTAACTACAGTATAAACAAACTGCTATGAGTCACCAACTGCCGGAATACTTTTGAATTGTACACAAAGGACTTGTAAATAAGAACCGAATGCACCATCACTTGCAGGATCAACTTACCATCTCGTTGTCTTTCATCTATCTCATTTGCTTCCCACTATTGTTTTCTCCTTGAAAATGTTTGAATTCAAATCTGCACACATAAATAAATCTAAATTTACATACATTTTGTTCAAGAAACAGTACACTCTAGAACGACATAGAACTGCATAGTCGATTTCAGTTTCTATTTTAACCACATTAGCAGACAAAGATTATTCCCAAGGCACATCTGTTTGTTCGAAGAAGTCTTCTGCTTTGCCCACAGGTGATGCACCAGATGCCTGATTACTGCTGTTATGTTCTTCCTGCCCACACTCAAATTCAGAATTTTCCAGTTATGATTTATCTCCTACCTCGTCTTATTTCCCGCGGCCGAAAACCATTCTTCATGCCATAGCTCTGACCAGTCAACTTCAGAACCCTTCCTCTTATCTCCTTCATTATACAATTTCCCGTTATATGGCTGAAAGTCATTCTTCAAGTCATAGCTCTGGTTATTATGTTCTTCCAGGCCCCACTTAGCTTCAGGCATCTGCCAGCCATATCTTTAGTCATACCAATTCCCACCCAAAAGCGGAAAAGTACTCTCCCCATTGTAGCCCGTGTAGTAGTGTGCCTCAGTTTGATCTAAGCTCACAGGTTCTTCAACACTAAAGACCTTCGTATTAGAAATGAAGTAACTCTTGTAGGAGCCGTTGTCCACAAATTACCATGTGAGGTTGTTCAAGTTCGGGTTCTACCATGCACATACAACCACAAGTATTCGCTTAGCATATGCAAGAACTATAAGTTTTAAATTCCTTACTACTAGTACAATAATGTGTTAGCCATGAGTGAGTTCCACATTCAAGATTAGTTTCTCGTTTAATACTAGTCATAGAATTTGTTACTAAGGATTCATTGTAAAAGTTACAATGAGGTTAGCCTATTTTATTCACCTACTGTCAAAACCATAGGGGCACAGTTCCGTATTGATTGTGGTAACAAGTATTACATGTGAAAACAAAATAATATGTTTGGTGCTAATCCTTGGATAAAAGAATATTGTATTGATTGTTGTAATAAGTATTACATGTGAAAACAAAATAATATGTTTGGTGGTATTCACTGGATAAAAGAATATGGATTATGTAATGACCAAATTCATTTTGTTTTCACTTTACAAAACTTTAACTGAACTTCTTAAATTCATTTTACTTGTACGGTTTTATTTTGTAAATGAATTCATTGTAAGATTTGTTGTATTAACTTTTATGTTGAGTTGCTTTAATGCAAAGTTACATTATGAATGTCATTTAATAAACTCACATTAGTTAATGTCTTTTTATCCTATGAGCACTATAAAAGTGCATTGTTGGACACATACAAAAAGACACACCAAGAGAAGAAAACACAATTTATACATTTTCTTGACAACGAAGTGCAGCTTGAGCGGTAAAATGCTTTAACTATGACCGATAGGTCATGAGTTTGAATCCCCGATGAGGGGAAGTGAGAACACCATTGATCCCCCTTTATAGAAAAAAAAAATTATACATTTTCTCTTTTGTGTCCCACATCTTAATGAATAAGTAAGGATCTTGGCACTTGAGTTTCTGATCAAGTGAGTGTGTTAGATAGGTTACTTTGGTATATTAAAGGCACAATATCACTGGCTATGGGGTACTTGAGGGATATAGTGATGCTAGCTAGATAGCTAAAAATTCCGAAACTAACGGACATACAGAGTATTGATTTATCTTGGGTGGGAGTGTTTTGTCCTCAAAGTTTACCAAACTGCCTTTGGTATGTACTTATCTTGGGTGGGAGTGTTTTGTCCTCAAAGTTTACCAAACTGCCTTTGGTAACTCGGTCTACTTTTGAGGTTGAATTATGTGCATTGGACACGACTAAAACAGATACATAATGGTTGTATAGGTTGTTGATGCAACTACCCATTGTAAGTAAGTTTTTTTCTCCAATACCAGTGTATTGTGATAAGAAAACCACAATTGCCAAAATAAGAAGTCAAAAGTTCAATCAGAAAACAAAGATGCACGTCTAAGTTAGACTAAAGTCTAAAGGAAATTAGTGTCTAATAAGGTTATCGTTGTTGACTTTATTAATTCTTATGACAACTTAGTTGATCCTTTGACTAAAGGATTTGATATCCTTAGTCCAAAAATGCATGTTAAGGATGGGACTAAGTAACCATAAGAGGTACATCTGTAGTAGCAACTCATCCTTTCGAGTGGAGATCCCACAAGGAAAGTTTAATGTGGTATACAAGTTGTTGAATGTATCAGTGAACACCTATAATATTTTTAGACTAACATTTTATATATGAAGTTTGAGTTCTTTTTTTGGCATACCTGGAAGGTGATGGTAACTACAAGTATAGTATATTAAGAGTTCATGTCCGAGTGGGGTCGAGTTTTCTAACAAGATGTAAGCAGTGCATCTTTGGAGACACCCAACTAAACGTGTATAGTTGTTTTGGCCGCCACTAGAGGAAAGGGGTTATTCCTTGAACATACTTATGAAACAGGATCGTGACATATGGCCTGAATGTATGATGTAGCGCATCGTTAAACGAAAGGAACACGAGAGAAATAAATCTCAAAATCTTAAGATATTTTTTTATTTTTATTCAAAGCCGCCGTTTGAGGCCTAGAAAACATATATAAATAGAGTTCTAAACAGTCTAAAGACCTATCTTGCTAGACAAGTAAATACCCACTAAAATAATTTTTTTCCTACCAACTTAATAACATAAATAAAGGAAATAATAATAACTATAGAAATAAATAATCAAGCTACTAAATAATTAAACTAAAATCGAGATTCGATCGTATTTCTCCAGAAAGGCAAGCGCGATCTCATCTCCATCAATGTATCAACCCCTAAAGATCATATCATAGTTTATAAGTTGTTACTAATGAACGTCATTACACCTACGACACGAATTCAAGGCTTAGATTCATTTGTTTTGATGGTCACAAAAAAATGGATAACTTAGGTAGTGCTTCAAGCTGAATGGTACCATTATTGAAAGCAATTTATGATGAACTTGATAATTATTATCCAAATGTGAAAAGAGAATAATATGTTTGCCATGCCATCTTAATTTATAAAATCTGCCACAAATACAACAAAACAATGCTAAAGGTGAGTCTATAACAGGATCGGTCATTATAATCATCGAAATAATCTGTCATTTCCAATCAGTAAGATACGGTTTTCTCTATGGATGCATGAATGATACATTTTATCAAACAACAGTCTTTAAATTTATTTCTTATTTTTTCAAATATCAAATAACTCGTCACGCCCAAAAGATTATCGTAGCTGATCCTCAAATCACACCAGACGTTCAAATCACACCAGACTTCGGCGCTAACACACCTGACATGAACAAAAAATAAGGATTTTCTAGACAATACTGAGGAAAATAAGGATATGACATTAAAATGATGTTTAACATTTCAGAATTAAGTGAAACTTAAAATGGGTGAATGTGTAGATGCAAAAAAAAAAAATAAATAAAAAAAAAAAGAATAAAGATAGAAAACAACAGCGTCACGTTTCTATGATGTCGGGGATGCCATGGAGGCGCCGCTAGAGCTCTCTCCGTCGAGGGATGTCGGACTCTTTCTGATGGAAGGCGAGGGCGCTGCCGCTGCCGTCTAAGGAGGTGTCGGAATCTGTCTGATGGAAGTTGCGGTGGGGACTCGAGCGTACTGTCGTCTCCGGCGGGGATGAACTGGTTGCAGCAGTCGACGGCGTGTCCGTCGATGCCGACTGCGCGGTTACTCTCGGTAGCGGGGCTTCCTCGGGCAGGGCATTTTCAGCGGCCGACTTGAGTTGTAGTTGACCAGTGAGTCGTCGTAACTCGTGCCCGTCAACCCGATCTCGCTCACCTGCTCATCTTCTTCATCCTCAAATTACATGGTTCTTTTTTCCCTGTTTTTCTTTTTTATTATTTTTTTTAAACCCAAACAACTTAATCATGCAGTATTAAGGTATATATATATAAAGGGTTAAATGGTTTAGATAGCCATATTTGGTTAATGCATGTTGAACTAACGTGAATCTTCACCCTCATCATTTTGTACTAATATGAAATTGTCTGTGATGATAATGTTTTTTTTTTTTCCTAAGCATTCTAATTTATATCAGTTTATTAGATACAGATAAATCAAATTTAGTTGCGTTCTATAAAATATTTCAATAATAATAGTCGGTTTTAAATTTCTTTACACGGACAATGAGCTTTGCCTCGCCGTTACGGCCGCCACCTCCAGTAGCCAGGTGACGGCGACGACCTTTCTCCTCCCCATATCCTACGCGTTGTACGTCCGACTGCGCTTGATAGCGCGAGGCAGCGCCTGCGCTTGCGCAGCTGGGCCTGCATGCAGCTGGGCCTATGCACGGGCATCTCTGGGACTACGTGTGGCTGAGACTGGTGATCCGTGGCTGGGTGCGCGACTAGTCCTGCCAAGGTTGCCGGTGGTCCCCAAACTTCTGGAAACTTCGTTTGTTGTTGTTGGATGATCATCGATGGCTACGGGGTTGAATATATATATTTTACGGGGTTAAGTATATATATATATATATACATTTATCGGCCTGAATTACCTTAGATCTTCTGCTGTATGACCCGACATCTTCTCTGTTCGTCTTGGTGGGTGATAGTCTCGGAGATATCTCTACTGAGATTACTTGGATGAAGAGAAGAGAAACAAGGGGAGGCGACTACATATGCCATATGTCTCATCCCAATCTCATGATCCCTAATCCCAATAGATGTGATGTATTTATAGCTTACAATAGGGACCCTAAGGAGATGCTAAATATGGGCTTCCCGAATTTGGGCCTAGCTGTGGGCCAAGTCAACTCCACTCAAATTCGAATAATATTTTAGTCCACTACAGAAATATTATTACACTCCCCATTTAGCGCCCAAATTACATTTGAAACTTGAATAATAATTACCCGATTTACCTCTCTGTGTTTAAGATATAATGTTCGTCAATTAATTTAATTACTGACAATCAAATTAATCGACATCTTGAACCAAGACTAGTACCACTCAAATCTTTATTATTATCTCAGAATAAATTCCACTAGACAGATTTAACATAATAATCCTTCATGAGCTCATTTCGGGGACATCATCAAATATCGCACATGGTGACCATAAATATTCGAACAACACACNAAAAAAAAAAATAAAAAAAAAAAAATAAAAAATTGGTCTTCCCAGTCATTGAGAGGAGCAGTAAGACGTGAAGACGTGCATAAGTGAGAAAAAGTCGTGATTTATGACATAAGTAAATTACCAATCTGATCCTAAAAAGCTGGCTAAAAGGAAGAAAATAAGGGCCATTTAAGTAATCTTCGTCCTGTTAGCCAGCGTTAACACAAAACTGCTCACCGTATACGAACAGGACGAAGAAATTATAAATTTAAATATACCCCAGTGCACGAAACCCTTGCTAATATAACATTCCAGATAAACAAAAAGAAATACATCATTTCCATCAGTGTACTTAACAATACAACTAATTCACTGCAAACCCAAGGAAATTAAAAGCTGGGCTACCACTTAAATGCAACAGAACAAAAAATAATCTCAAAATATTGCAGAAAACAACATCACAAGCAAAATGAAGAAGCTCCAAGCTGAATGATTGGTGGCAGCCGGATGTCGTCAAACACTGGCGGCAGCCGAATGTCGTCAAAAGGGTGACATGTCCTGAACAACGAAGGACCAATGTCGATGGGCACTTACGACAAACTTCAATGAAGTGAGAATGTCGAGGCTGGTAGTGTGGCTGCTTTTGGTTTTACTATCGGATTCATAAGCATCCCTCAGTTTTTTAAGATTAGCGTGCAATACGCGTATAATGAGCTGAGGGTGCATGACGCTTTCGTTCTGCGCATCGATAGTCTCATAATATATTCGCTTCGTGTCAAGCTTCGTCTGTAAAAGGCAGAAATGCAAAGCTCCAGAATCACCATGGTCAAGGGGGGCAGCAGCCCGATATCCGGCCCCAAAAGTTGGCGGATGCTCAAAAACAAACCAACTACACAAGCGGCATTTAGTATCTTTGGACTTCAAATCATAGATGCCAGCAGCAGTGAGGCAAAATTCAGCATCTCTAGTAATGGAGAGGGGACCTTTGCAAGGAAGATTACGGATGTCAAATAATCCATCAACTCGTACCCATCCTCCTTCACCAGCAAGATCCAAACAGAAGTCTCCTTCTTCTGTTTGGAGAAAAAAAGTATGAGTAGGCTCATGTAGTGTATATCCTAGGACCAGAAACCTCTTCTCATTAAGACCTAACTGGGGCAGCTCACGGCAAGAACCACAAGTTATAGGATCAAACAGCTCGAAATCCACGTTCACTGCTTTACGATCAAACTCGATTAATCTGGAGAAAACTAAGATTTTACCATCGGAAGTGGGAATGGCCATAGGGAGGCACTTGGGGTGTAGGACATGAGGGGTTATTTTCAGTGCAGGTGCCTTTAAATCCACAGTAAAATCATCATCAGTGTATTGAGATAGATCAACAGTAGCAACTGAGGACCTATGAGCTTGCGAACGAGAATATACTCCACCAAAAATTCCGTCAAACAGGTAGAGGGTCGATCCCACGACACAGGAAGTATGCGCAGGGAAACACTCACGGAAGAGACGAAACGTGGGTTTTATCGGTTTGAACTCCTCGCCGGCGCTGGAGATGATGTCAGCGTCCTTATGTTTTAATAAATCCAGAACCAATATCTCGAGGAAATACTTGTCTGGCTCATCATACCCAGAGCAGCGAAAGACGAGACAAACTTTCGTCTTAAAAGGATTAACTGATGATGACCCTGATTGATCCAGACGTATCCTTTTAGGAGGTGGAGGTGGAGGTGATTGATCCAGAGGAGGACTGGCGGAGGACATCGAATTGTGTGTTTGAAACTTAGGGTTTTCTCCGAATGAATTCAATGGGGATCGAACAACAAAATGAAATTCGAAAATGAATTATAACAAGGGAAGTGCTATCATTCCGTTATTTTATTTGAGACCTTGGATATTGAAAGCTCACAGTGACCATTAGATTTGATGAAGTAGCACCCAGGAATGTAGACCACCAAATTATGTTGAACCCACTACCGCATAATGAATTATAGAGCATCATTAATATCTTTCATTTGCTACCGAAAATAGACAACAAATTGAGATATAAATATAGACAGATGTTTTTTCTCTATAAATTTCTATGGGTGTTACTATTCACCGCCCCCCCTTTTACTACTCACCGTCCCCCTTGGACAATTTTGCCCTTCTCATTTTTTCTAAACATATCAGACAATTTATGAAAAAATACGTGTCCGGCCGCCGGTTCCGGACAGCTTAAAGCCCGTCCGGAACCGGCGTCCGGACGGCTTAAAGACCGTCCGGAACCGGCGTCCGGACGGTTCAAAGACCGTCCGGAAAGCATGGCCGGTCGGACCGGCCGTGTCCAACCGCCGGCCGGACGGCAATTTTTTTATTTTTTATTTTTTTATTTTTATTTATTATGTTATTATTCGAAATAATTATGTTATAAATTGGGCTATATTATTATGTTTTAAATTATTATGTTACTTTTTAAACTTGATTATGATATAAATTGGACGTTTATCGTGTTAGGAGTTACAAATTATTATGTTACATGTTTATTATAATATAAATTGGACGTTTAGATATTATCGTGTTACGAGTTAGAAATTATTACATTATATATTAGTTTTAGTTATGTTATAAATTGACGTTAGATAGTATCGTGTTAAGAGTTACAAGTTATTGTGTTACATGTTTATTATAATATAAATTGGACGTTAGATATTATCGTGATCGTGTTAT